AGACGTAAAGACAGAAGAGACGCACCGAATAGTGAATGTGACCGAAAGCTGAATAGTTGATCCACTATGACACCCAAAAAAGTCCACAATTTTGAAAAATTTTATTTTTTAGACTGAAAAACGAGGAGTTATCGAGAACAAGCAATAATAGGCTGTCTAAGTGTCTATGCAACCATTCTTTATCGAGATAATTTTCAACCTCTAGTTCAAATTCAAATGTTTTAACAGCTAACGATGGCTAAGATAATTTTTTCCGCTAATACTAAAAACAGAGATTATTGTTCTTGAGATAAAAAAAAAGATGACTATATGGCAATTCGGCCTTGAGATTGCCGAAGTTGAATCTCAAATCGTTGTTTAATGTTTACAGATATACACCAATAACCACACAATACATATAAACATTCTATACAAATATATATAAACACGCATACTTACACACATGCATACAAAAACACATACGCACGTGCATACAAAAAAATATACAACACACGCAAACAAACATTACCTCATCAATCGAACTGTTAACATTTAACCCTAATTTTCTTGCGATGCTTTTCCGTTGACGTTAACACAAATATCTTTGTATCTTTATATCTTTGTATCTCTGTATATGTGTGTGTTTGTGTGTGTGTGTGTGTTGTTTTGTATTTAAATTCAAATAAACTATGTATAGATGTGTGTATATAAGTGTATATATATATACATGTGTAATTCTTCGTATATTTATTTCAACTTACTTTTTCTTTCTTTATGTACGTACGTGTGTGTGTGTATGAAGTAACTATGTTTTCAGAGACATGTGTTCGTTTTTTTGTGTCTGTCTGTGTGCTTGTGTCTGTGTGAACGTGCGTGTTGTACGGTGAAGCTAATGTGATTTTATTATCTAATTATATTTGGTTTGATTTAAAAATTTTTTAAAAATTTTTAGAAATTTTAATTAATTTTCAAAGAAATGAAAAAATAATTTGTTAGTTTGAATTTGTTTAGGTTAGAGTTTAATCAGTTAGTTTTTTTTATTATTTAGATTACATTGAAACATTTAGAAACATTAAATGAAGCATTATACAAATAAAATCTCTGGTTGCTCTGCTGGTATTCAGCATGTTCGTACACGTTTCACATTGATTAACGCATTGGACTGGATCTGTCCGCATGTGCTCGCCTACTCGAACTTATTCAAAATTGAACACAATCTTATTATATTTTACATTTGAAAAAAACATTTTTAACATTCGCATACGTAAATTTTCTTCCGCCAAGCCCAAAAATAATGACGAAAGCAAACATGGTAATTTCTCAAAAACAGAGGTTCGAAATTGCAATGTAAGTGATTGACGGCCCGGTTAACACGGTCATCGTCAAACATCACAAACGTTCGTTCATATTCAACTCGTTAAACCACGCATTTAAGCAAAAAAAAACGTACATCCAAGAGAACAAACTCACGCACACACGTCCACAAACACACGCACACACATGCAGACGGACATATTCGCTAAGTGTCTGTCCGTTTCCAATTAATCAATTTCCAAGAGAACGTCGTTTTAGATCTTTTCGAAAAGAGGCGATCTTATTGGTTGACTGGCCGACCAATAGAAATTCATATTACTGTCGCGCGCTTACTTATGCGTTCGCAACTATGCGTTTATATATATATATAAACATATGTATATATATATATATATATATATATATATATTACGTATATGCATAAATACACATACATAGTTACATAAGCGTACTTTTGTAATATGTAGAAATGTAGGTAGGTAGGTAGGCAGGTAGGTATGGATAGCCTGTATTAGCTTGGATATCATGATAATCATCCGATGGATGCTAGGATGGATGTTCGTCTGACTCTTGTTTGTAATTGATGAAAGAGGTTCACATACAAACAATCGCCAACCATCAACATGCATGTGTATTGTATGTAGATAGGGATGTGTGTATGTGTATAAGCATCTACTGTATGTATATATATATATATATATATATATATATATATATATATATATAAAATATTATGTTATGTTATGTTATTTGATGTAGGAATACAAATTCATTAATATAAACACATACAAACATATGTATGTGCATACAGTTTAATATAATGTAATTAACATAAAGGTCTATAGTTTTGTATAGAAATTTATAAATGAATATATATATATATATATGTATATATATACACACACACACACACACATATATATATATATATATATATATATATATATATAGAATGGTCATTTGGATGTTTGGTAGAGTTTGCTGTTATGCGTATGTCTGTGAAATTACGAGCTATTTAACACATTGAAAAAATATCTTACCACTTGTTTATTTGTTCGTTCGTTCGTTTGTTTGTTCATTTGTTTGTTTGTTTGCTTGTTAATAGCAATGAATCCCTGTTTTTGATGTGATCATCTAAAAATAATGTTATAGAAAAATTTTTATGTGAGAGTGCCATATTTTATGAAGAAATTTAGTTTTTAGAAGTAACAGAAGCAACAACATTGATAATAATTATTATTATATTATTATAGTTTCATTATTAATAATTATATTAATGATTTAAAAAAGAAACAATTTTTTTACAATGATGTCAGGACTGATATATGTCAACAGTATATCGAAAATTTTGAAAAATTCCATAACCAACTTTACTAGCAAAAGTAAATACTTTATCGTGTATTACTGCATCAGTAATTTACTACATAGTAGCTATATAATTTCAATACATATTATATATATATACAATACTATATTTATCTGGTTTATTAGAGAAAATGATTTCAACTCAGAATTTAAGTTTCCGTTGTAAATCTTGCTAAAATAAAGTTAAATAATAAAAAGTTGTCAATAAAATTATATCAAATTTTGTAGAAAATACTTTTAAAATACCGAAATATTTTTTTAACTTGAAGAACAAAGTTGATGAGCAGAGCACCAGTGACTACGTCAGAGATGATGACGATGAACCACCATCAAGAAGAAGATTTTATCAAAACTTCAACTAGAACCATTCGAGGTAACAACGACACGTCAAACTCCAGCCACATTAGCCACAACATCAACTGCAGCACCTCCACCAACCACAACAACAACAACAACAACATTAACGGCAACAACACCGAAGCAAATAGTGGTCAAATTGATGACGACATGGACGATTCCAAATGTCTCGACGTTGTCGATGGAACCGTGAATGTTAATACCGACGCCGACGATGACGAGATTGAAGCCGATTCGGACGGAAGCGATGACGATGACGTCACTAGTAGCAACTATTATAAAAACCACAATAGAAACATGGCTGACAACCTCAAAAACATCCATAGCAGCAGCAATCACAACAACGTGAGCACTAATAACGCGTCAAACCAAACAAAAACGATGTCACAAAATTTATCGTTCGGCATGAGCCGGATACTGGCCAGTTCTCCAAGTTTATTCAAAATGTCCAACAACATGTCCAACTCTTCACTCGCTAAAAACGCCGTTGACATTGCCAGTAAAATGGACGATGACGATGATGACCACAACAATGTAACAGACAAAAACCGTTTTATAAACGATTTGATAACCCTAAACAAAATTTCAAAAACCAACTCTGCCTCTCCAGATTCGAGGTCAAAAAGAGAGCGCTACATGAATGAAAACGTTCAAGCCTCACGTCTGGTAGCCGCTCTTCACTACATCAAAACTATCGCGGGGACCAACGCTTGGAACGGTGCATCTATTAATAGAAACGGAAGTGGAAACTCCAAAGGGTTCTCTCAAACACCGCCTCACATATCACCTCCTGGAGTTTCTTTGGGATTCCCGCCATCGTTCATCCCATATTTGCCAGGAGTTTTACAGATCCCCTCGATGAGGTCCTACGAAAATGTCGCAACATTGCAAAACGCGCAAAAGTACTGCGAACAACAACAACAACATTTAAACATTATGCAAAAACAACAGCAACAACAATCTCAACAACAACAACAGCCACAGCAAACACACCAACAACAGCACCACCAACAACAACAACAGCAACAACATCAACAACAACAGCGCCAACATTTAAAATCGCCGGAAAATTTATTGTCCAGTCCTGCTCTCCTCAAACACCACATTCAACAACAGCAGCAGCAGCAACAACAACAACAACTTCAGCAACAATTGCAGCAGCAGCAACAGCAGCAGCAACAACATTCAGCCAACTCGTTGATGTTTCCGTGGATGCATGAGAGGAAGGACAGACTGTCGGGAGATCCGTTGAGATGTTAATTTACATTCCATTCGTCCCCACATTTCAATTAACTTTTTATTTTTATAAGTTCGAAATCAAAGTTGAAAAAGATCAATCGGTAGCGTATTGACGGACTCACAAGCCTTACATTTGAAACAAAGACTCAGAAATAAACAAATGTTTTGCAAATTTGAATAAAAGTTTAAGTTGTAAAAATATTTACACTTGTAAGACTGAGACTTTTAAAAGTCATAAACAACAGTTACAAAATTATGCAAATTAAATTAGAAAACATTTCCCTTTTAATTGCTAAGAAAAGTCGAAAATTTTATTAAATTAAATTGAAATGCAAAATCTTCAATGAGACCACTCATTAATTCATACACACATCAAACACACAAACTCAGACGACGATTCACATCTACAAATTGTATTCAATCAAAATATTCTTTTCATATCACATTATTCAAAAATATCCAGGACACACATGTACACGCACGCACACACACACACACACACACACACACACGCACGCACGCACGCGCACACACGTTTGAATCAACACATCAACAAAACTTCACGATATGTTAATCTGGGATCTAATCTATTTGAAATCGAACCCGTCACTGCCACTCATGACCAGACATCTTCAGCTACAACAACATCATGCGCCCATTTATAATTTAATTTATATTTCCTACCTCAAGTTACAAGAAGAATCGGACATCCCTACCAAAACAGGACCCCACCGAAGCACAAGAAACCGAGAACGAGTTTCTCTCGTCTGCAAATCATAGAGTTAGAAAAGAGATTCCACCGCCAAAAATATCTGGCCTCTGCCGAACGATCCGCCATGGCTAAGGGTTTAAAAATGACTGACGCCCAAGTTAAAACGTGGTTTCAGAACAGAAGAACAAAATGGAGGCGAGTTCTACTTTTTCAAACTCTACGCTTTTATTTCTTTCGAGTATGCTACACTACACATACACCAACACCACACTATGTAGAAAAATAGATTTATTTATTTAAAAATTTTCATACTTTTATTGATCTAGACATTCACTAATTGTGAAAACCGGACTGTTGCACCAATAAATCATCATTTGAATAATTTATACAAACTTATAAATGATCATCAAAATAGCTAGTTACTACTACTAAAATACGAATAATAATATAAATTACTTCGATAATACTTATTAATGGAGTTCAAATTTACTGCATGGAAAAAAAGCGCGAAAAGGTAGTATTTTTAAGAGGGAAATAATTCGCGGGAAAAATTTTAAATTGTTAAACTGAAATGCGGCGGTTGATTAGCATGTAAAAGGCCATGCATGTATTTTTTATTCGAACGTACCAGGCGGTCTCAACAACACAGATGACACCATCGATGTCTGTGTGTGTTTGTGTGTGTGTGTGTGTGTGTGTGTGTCTGTGTTGTGTGTCTGTATGTGTTTGCATGTGTGTTCAGTGTCTGTGTTGTGCGTCTGTGTTGTGTGTCTGTGTTGTGTGTCTGTGTGTGTCTGTATGTGTGTGTGCGTGTTGTTTCGTGTCTGTGTGTGTTTGTATGTGTGTGTTGTGTGTGTGTTTGTGTTTGTGTTTGTATGTGTGTGTGCGGGTTGTGTGTCTGTGTATGTTTGTATATGTGTGTCTG